AATAAAGTTTTTAATTAAGTAAGAACTTATGCAGAAATTTAAAAATTCAAATTAAATTTAAGTGAACTTGGGCAGAAACACTAAGGGTTGGTTTGGAATGTCTTAAAAAAGTGCACTTTTTGACTTATTGGTGGGTTTGAGTTGGGTTTGGGTTGGGTTTGATATGATGTGTTAGAGAGGTGATGTGATTTAAATAAGATGATGTGACTTAAATAAGATAGTGACTTTTTGACTTTTTGACTTATTTAGTACATGCCAAACTAGCCCTAAATAACCTGAGCAATCAAAACAAAATTATATATATAAACATATAAATTATTTGCTATTTTTTTAAAATAATAAATAAAATTAATAAAGGGGAAAGCACCAATAAATCCCAAATTTGATAATGTTAACCCATTTAGTCCCGAAGGTTTTTTGATGGACTAATAGGTTCTATTTCTCTAAAAGCTTACTATAGGCCTTTTTATGTTAAACATTATTCATCAAACATCAAACATTAGCAATGTCAGGATTATCCGTATAATGTCGGTGAAAACATTAGCAACGTTAGAATTATTCATCCAACATCAAACATTATCAACGTTAGGATTATTCATCAAACATCAACCATTAAACATTAGGATTATTCATCAAACAACAAACATTATTCATCAAACATCAAACACAACCATTAAATATCAGGATTATTCATCAAACATCAAACATCAAATTTATTTTTAAAAAATTGAAACTATTGCTCGAGATCCATCATTAAATTCATTAGAACATTAAACATTATTCATTCAACATCATATTCATTAATCTAACATCATCAGATTCATTGATGTCCCATTGTTAAGTTTCTGCTACTGGTTCAATTTCAGTTCACCAGTTCGTTCAGATTTCTTGAAGAATAAAAGGAAGAAGAAAAAAAACCCACAGAGAGAAGTGGTTTTATCGGCCGAACCCTAAGGCAGTCTTGCAAAGCTCGGAACGGCGTCGTACCGTGCCGCGATCGGAACTCCGTCCAGTGCAAACAGGTCTCCGACAACGGTTTGGCGTCATACCGTGCCGCGATTGGAACTCCGTCAAGTGTGAACAGGTCTCCAGCAACAGCAAACCGTTTCGCCTCTGATGATTCGAGTGATCATCCATCATCATCATGTATGTGAAACAACTCAAACCCTAACCCTTCTCTCCAGCAATATATATATATATATAAATAAATATATGAATCTATTGGTATATCTATGTATATATCAATCTATTGATGATGTTTGAATATATTGGTGATGATGTTCGAATGTTGATTGATGTTTGTTGATAGTGATGATGTTTTAATGTTTGATGTTGTTTTGATGATGATGTTGTGATGTTAAAAAATGACTAAATGGTTTATAAAAAAACACTCAGGACTAGATGGAGTAACATTTTTCAAAATAGGACTTATGAGTAATTTTTCCATTAATAAAAAGGTTAATATTAATGAACAAAAGAAAAAAAGCAATATGCTTAAGATTTCCAATAGAAATTTTCTTGAAAATATATATAAAAAAATATACCTTTTAGAAAAGGATCATCGAATAAGAGTTGTTTGAGAAGTGTCATATTATCTCACTTTTTTTTTTTTTGGTGAATTACACAAACGGTCTCTATAGTTTGGGGTCTGTGTCACTTTGGTCCCTGACTTTTCAATTGTGATACATTTGATCCTGAATTTTGAATCTTGTTCCAAATAAGGACAATTGAAGATAATATTATATTTTTCAAGGGCAAATTCGTCAATTTGATAAAATATAAATTAATTTGATAAAAATAAATGTCAAAAAATTATTTTTGATTTTTTTTAAATTATTTCTACCTACTAAAGATAAAATTATATAAAATTGATAAATCTTTTAGACATTTAATTTTTTTTTACCAAATTAATTTTTATTATATATTTAGATAATGATCATGTAAAATTAATTTTTAAAAATTAATCATGTAATTTTTATCAATTTTATATTATTTTATCTTTGGTGGGTAGAAATAATTTTTTAAAATTTTAAAATATTTTTTTGACATTTTATTTTTGCCAAATTAGTTTATATTTTATCAAATTGACGATTTTCCCATTAAAATTAAGCAAATGTATGTTCAATTGTCCTTATTTGAAACAACATTCAAAATTCAGAGTCAAATGTGTCACAATTGAAAAGTCAGGGACTAAAATGACTCGAGCCCCAAACTATAGGGACTATTAGTGTAATTTGCCTTTTTTTTTTTTATCTTTTTTGGATCACATCACATTTTTACATTTCTACACATCTTTTCGTAAAAAGGAAAAAAAAATATACTTAATTAGCTTTTTTAGATCACATTACATTTCTACTTTTCTGTACATATTTTCGTAAAAAGTAAAAAAATATACTTATTTAGCACTTCCCAAACTAGCACTAAGTTGATATTAAAAAGGTTTACTTTTTATAATGGCATAAATAAATTAAATATGATTTTTTAGAAATTCTTTTTAATTTAAAAATTACAATAAAATATTAAATAGAATAAAAAAGAAATTTCTTACAAAATAAAAGTATTTGAAATAAAAAAAGGTAAGAATAAAATTTAATATGTTATTTTCATTTAATCTGAAAATAACTATAGATAAACAATAAATTATCATCTATAACCTTTTTTTTTTTAAATAAAAAAAGGTTTAACGAGCTATCACTCTTAATAAATAAATAAATAAATTAACGTTTCTTTCTAATTTATTTTAGTAAAGTAACTTTTTATCAATTTGAGCCAAAGATACCTTTATACTTTATTTTGATTTTTTTAATTGACAATTGAGATTATATATATATAACAAAATACATCATGTTTGGTACGTACTAAAAAAATTATGTTTTGTTCTTTAAAAAAAATATATATTAAAAATATTATTGTTCAAGTCCTTATAGTTTAGAAGGATATAATTTTTTTATAAAATTAAAAAAAAAAATAAATAATAGCGATTAATAATTTGAATACATGTATTTAAAACAAATTATGTTTAGACCAATAATATTATGACATATCATTATGATATATATGAATATTGAACTCATTCTAATTAAAGTAATATAATTTGAAGAAAGATTTAAATTTGAAATTTTATTTTATAATTTAATGAAGGATACAAAATTTAAGAAATAAATATTGATCTCATTCCAATTATAGTAACATAATTTAAGTAAGAATCCAAATTTAAAATTTTATTTTAAGAATATAAAATTAATTTATAAATCAATCATATTGTCACATGTATTAACAAAAATATTAAACAAAATAAAGAAAATGAGAAAAAATAATTACAACTTTCAACTTTAATGAAATGACAATATTTTGCAATTATAATAGTATATAGATATGGAGCACTTTTTCATAAATCTATTTTCACCTACTTATGTTCCATTTAATTCACATTATTTTTTTATAATCTAATAAGTCCTATAGGTGACATATTTACCAAAATACCCTTAATAATATTCACATTTACAGTATAAACGTTTCGTGATGTGAATGTTAACACCATCAATGTGAATGTTAACATATAAATATGAATATTCACATTATAAAATATAAATATTCACATCACCAAATTGCTAACCGTTAAAAAATATTTATAAGGGTAGAAATGTCCATAAAATACCTTAAATATGAGAATTAGGATTTGATAGATCAAGTATTCAAATAATAAGACTTACTGCAATTCAAGAATATCTTATGAATTAATTGAGATACAAACACTTGAAAAAAGGATTTTCTAATAAATCTCTCCATACATAGATATTTAGATAAATCACGGAATAGATCATTATTTAAAACTTATATATTATGAGATAAATCATTATAAATTAAAATTAAAATTAATGGAATGCTTTCCATATTTATTACCACTCAAATTATCCGAAATGATTGGGCGTAAAGCGTATGTAGGTGGCTTTTTAAGTTTGTCGTCAAATCTCAGAGCTCAATCCTGGACAGGCGGTGGAAACTACCAAGCTGGAGTACGATAGGGGCAGAGGAAATTTCCGATGAAATGGTGAAATGTGTAGAGATTGAAAAGAACACCAAAGACGAAATTTTAATTTTAAAATGAATTAGTATACTTTCTATTTTTATTTTATGTGTTTTATATACTTTCTATTTGAAAATTATAAATCAGGGGATATTATTATTATTTTGCTTGAATGAGGGCTATAGAAGATATTTTTTAATTATTTAAAATCAAAAAATTGAAAACTCTTTTTTACTTATATAATATATAAATAGATAGATTTAGAGGTTGTTTAGAATGACCTAAATAAGTGTACTTTTTACCTTTTTACAAAAAGATGTACAGAAAAGTAGAGAGATGATGTGATGAAAAAAAAATAAAAAGATAGATTATTTTATAGTAGCCAAACTTGACCTTAATAAGAATTTTTATTTGTTTTAGATATTTTTTTAATATACAAATTACTTTTTTAAATTTTTTTATAAAAATAATTTAACAATTCTATCACTAACCATAGTGTATAAAAAAAAGTTGAAAAAAGTATAACAATAGGTATGGAAGAAATCAAAAAGACTTGTGAGTTGAAAAAAATCAATAAATGCTGAATTTTTTTTTTAATCAAAAAATTAAAATTAAAATATTAAAACTCCCACAATATTTGTGAGTTAAAAATCCTATTTTTCTTATATAATACATAAATTTCATCAAACATCCTCAACCTCACTTTTAAAAAATGTAAATCAAGATGTGTTCCTTCGTAACCCACACCCAACACCAGCACCAGCACCAGCACCAATACCATTAGCCAACCCCTCACAGACCAGTACCAGCATCACCACCTTCCTAAACCATCACAGGCCTTCTACCTCTCTCCCTTACCTCCACAGCCTATTCCATCTCCACCACCATAACCCATCACCACATTTACCCCCAATGCATAGATCCAAACACACCCATATTTGTCTCACTATCGTCCATTAAATGACATCAATTATGGTCCTCAATTGGACGTCATTGCCATGGCATTTGATAAGATGGCATTGCTCAAGTCTTCGATCACAATATCATTTCTCTAGCCCATTAGTGTCAGACAACTTCTTTCAAGGAAATAATATCACCACATTGACATTAAACCAAAAAACTCACTATTATACCAGTGAGAAACCACATTAGCCATTAACAAACGACATAACATTTAAGAAGCTATACATACACAAACCACCCATTACTGTGCAAGACTGAGAAAATTGCCTCGGCTTTCTCATTTCAGACTCAGTGATAACCTATCCAAAAAGCATCCCAAGATCACCAATTCTCTGCAAAGAAAGAAACAGATGAGCTAAAGCCAAGGCCCACGCGGTTGCACTGAAGACTTACACTCAGAAGATGCAAAAGAGGATAAATTTAGCAAGAGTCAGACCCGTGATTGCAGGTAACCATTGCCTCACATTTTTAGGACAAACACAACATTTTTTGGACAAACTAGAGAAATTGCTGAAGCCAGAGAGAGTTCACAGCATCCTTCTCCATGTCGTACTTCAATTTATGTACTTGATCCAAAGCCTCCTTCACGTTCATCTTGTCTAGTGGCAATTCAGAGAATTCCTTCAAGAATTGACGAGCCCGGGCAGCACCTCTAGACATATCGTCAGGGTCACACTCTCTCTTCCGTTTAGATCCCACCTGCAAATTATTTGTAGCATAATCAAAAAATATATTCTTAGAGCTCATGACCATAGATGAATAAATCTATATAATCTGAAACCCAATGAGAAGCACAAAGTTATCCATAGCCCACGTAAGGGAACATACATCTTGTTTAGTATCATTTGCAATGATAGTGATAGGTGAGAAATCTTCCAACTCTGCAGCCTTTTCTCTAGCAAGGCTGACCACACTTTCAGGAAAGTTCGCAAATTCAGCAACGTGAATACCAAAACTTTGATCACAAGCGCCTGGCTCAACCTAGAAAATAAGATCAACATAAGAGGGTGAGTGCACACATCTTTAAACAATTACAAAAATAATAAGACAATTTTTTTTTCCCCTTTGTGTTTTGTTTTCGTGTTTTCGTATACAAAACAAATGAAAGTTTGAAAAAACAAATCATCTTCATTTTTGTGCAAAACAAGTTTCGAAAATTCAAAACTAGTTTCGAAAATTCAAAACTTTACAGTGTCTCCTAAAAAATGGGATGTTTTCAAAAAAATTCAATACAGTTTGCAGAAACAGTTCATCAAACAAGTTCTATATGTATTCCGCAAGATGGATGCATAAAACACAACAAAACCACAACCAAAAAGTCTAATTCCCAAACAAAAAATTATTCAAATCTTATTTATTTGAAAAGGTAAGTTCTGAAGATAATACCACAATTTGCCTAATATGTAGACACTTGCCCATGCTAATAAATGAAGCCAAATTTAAGACTCAGAATAATTTTAGTTGTTAGCCTCTAATATAGAACATTGGCAATGCAAATGACGATCCAAAGAAAATTACGGCAGTGGTTCATGTTAGACTGTTCTAAACTAATTTAATATAGTTTAACAAATTTTGTTCAAGTTAGTACGAATTTTGTCAGAAATGAAAAGCAGAACATAAACTTCACACAGAGCAAGTACACTATCCTCTTTCACTTCTTCCACATCTTATATAAAAATTCTTATTCATGAATCTTTGGCTGTTTGTCTTTCATTAAAACGTATAAATATGGTTTGGAATAAAGTGGGAAAGTGGACATGAATGACTTTTTTGATATACTATGTGAATGATAGCAAGAACAAACAGAAAACAAAAACAGTATATTTTTTGGGAGGCTGTACATACCTTGTAAAGCATAGTCAGCTTGTGACTTGATGAGTCAATGTGTGCACTGACATGATAATTTGCCACACCAACAATTTTCTTTGAAGTCTCATGGTCGGCATTTTCATGAGCTAATGCAGTGAGTTCATGAAAATGGGTTGCAAACAAAGTAGGTGCTTTAATGACTTCAACAAGGTGCTCGCAGATGGCCCAAGCCAAACCTGATATTCAGATCACAATATAATGTGACCAAATCTCTCTATGTTTTATCTATGAACACACAAGTGACAGACATAACGAAACCTCAGGTGTGTATGTCTATGAACACACGCACATATGCATGAAGGATATAATCATATTACAAAATTCTTGATCAGACCAAGGCTAGGGCATATTATAGTAATATAATTGTTTTGGCATGAAATGAGCCATGGATAGCATAATCAAACCAGATCCAAGCCAGACATGTAATGCATTTATTTGGTATATTGCCCTCCCCTGTTGCAAAACCCAATGTCCCAGTCCACACCCAATATCACGTTAATTGTTGATTTTCTATGAGTTCAAATGTGAATTTCCTCTGTTTATTTCATTGCCTTGCACTCCACTTTCTGCCCATTGCACTCTACAAAATGAAGTGCAAGAAAGCAAAAAGTAGAGGAAATGAGGTACCCAACATTATTCTTGAAACAATGACTCAAATAGTAGTCCATCTAGGAAGAGTGTGGGTGGGTAGGGGTACATTCTATATATTCATAGAGGATAAGTATAACTAATGAAAAGATTCAGGTATGAAACTAACCGAATCCATCATATGTTGATGTTCCCCGGCCCAACTCATCAATGATTATTAGTGACTTGTCAGTAGCTCCTTTCAGAATTGCAGCAGTCTCCAGCATTTCTTGCATGAAGGTAGAAACCCCACGTAGCTGTTTGAGAGAGAGCGAGAGCACGTAATGAGAGTCAAATTACAATAATTCATTACATTCTCCTTATCTTGCAGCCCAGGATACACCTCTGGGATGATAGAAATGCATAAACCAGTGGTATAATAGATGATCAAGATAATATGGTCGTCCCCAAAAAAAAGGTTATACCCAGTGCACAAGGGTCTGGGAGAGGTAATTTGTAAGCAGTGTTGCCGCCGCTTTTTATTTTTTATTATTATTATTATTTTTGTGGAGAGATTCATTCTCACAACTCAAACCTGCACCACAACTCTAGGAGCAGTAAAACTGGCCATCATTCTTGGCCACAACCTTTAGTCAAGGTAATATGGCAATCTCCTAAACCACCAATCACTGGTAATCAGTCTATCTATTAAGGACGTTTATGTGATCAACATATTGCTTCATCTTTCGGTACTATAGGTCAACACATACATATTTTAAAACATGCTGACTCGAAATTCAGTAATACATATCAGGGAAATTACATAGAGCCAAAAACAAACAGATTGAATGGCAATTAAGTCGCAAAAAAATATCTCTAATTTTTCACAAACATAATACTATCATAGAAATGGAGCTGTTCATTAAACATGGCCTACACTTGCTCACAAGCTTAACACAGAGGAATACAACTGATCTGTTGGTAAATGGATAGAACTTGGATCACTTCATTGGCCCTTAATAAACTTATTCTTTAAGTTAGGATCTGAAAACTAAACAATTGTCGTCAATCTAACTACAAGAAGAGTAATTCATTTATTTGCATATATATATATATATATTGTAGGATCAAGCGCTTACCATCTCACCAAAACCCATAGATAGTGGTGAAGGTGCAACTTTATTTCTTTAAAGGGTGCAGCGCCAAGTGTCACAAGTTAACTATGACTCAACCTCAACCCAGACCTCCGCCACGACAGGATGCTGGCCCAAACCTAGGCCAACAGTCCCCCACCCCCACCCCCTAGCACCTGCCCGCAAGCAACATGCCATCTAGGGGAATCAAACTTGAGACCTTGCTCTAATACCTCAACAAAACGCATAAGTAGTGGTGAAGGTGCAACTTTATTTCTTTAAAGGGTACAACGCCAAGTGCCGCAAGTTGACTGCGACTCAACCTCAACCCAGAACTCCGCCACGACAGGATGCTGGCCTAAACCTAAACCAACAATCCCCCACCCCCTAGCACCTGCCCGCAAGCAACATGCCATCTAAGGGAATCAAACTTGAGATCTCGCTCTAATACCTCACCAAAACCCATAAGTAGTGGTGAAGATACAACTTTATTTCTTTAAAGGGTACAGCGCCAAGTGCCACAAGTCGATTGTGACTCGACCTCAACCCGGACCTCTGCCATGGCAGGATGCTAGCCCAAACCCAGGCCAACATATATATATATGGAGAGAGAGAGAGAGAGAGTGATATTTAAAAAAAAATTATCTTGATATACAAATAAATAAGACAAAATATGATTAATTATATACATTGTACGGATTAAATTAATTTTCTTTTATATTTTATATTTTTTGTTTATCTTATTGATGTCTTAATATTAATTTATATTTAATTATAGGGTAAATTACACTTTTCCCCCCTAAAGTTTCACTCATTTCCCACTTTGACCCTTTAAGTTTGATTTTTTTTTCCACTTTGGCCCTTTATGTTTGCAATCCTTCCCACTTTGACCATTTAAGTTTTATTTTTTTCCACTTTGGCCCTTTAGCTTTGCAATCCTTCCCACTTTGACCCTTTAAGTTTTATTTTTTCCATTTTGGCCCTTCATGTTTACAATCCTTCCCAATTTGGCCTTTCATGTTTGTAATCTTTCTCACTTTACTCCTAGACTAACCTCCATCCAAAAAACTAATTTGTTTGGTTTTCAGAAAAAAAAAAAAAAATTTAGAAAATTCTACTTTTTTATTTTTTGTATTTTAATGTTTTCAACGAATTTTTTTAAAATTTTAAACAATTTTTTTAATTTTTAGACACACCTAACATAAATACACTTAAAAAGTATAATATTTGTGAAAAAAATCTTTAAGACACACCTAACATAAATACACTTAAAAAGTATAATATTTGTGAAAAAAATCTTTAAAAAATACACTAAATACCAAAAAATACAAAAAAAAATTTATGAAAATTCAGTACATTTTTTGTATTTTTGTACATTTATTAATTTTTTAAAATATTTGTTGACAAATATTTTACTATTTCAATACATCTAAGTAAGGTGCATCTAAAAAAGTAAAAAAAAAAAAATTGCTTAAAATTTTAAAAAAGATTCACTAAAAACAAAAAAAAAACAAAAAACTCAATTTTCAAAAAACTAAATTAAAAAAACTGAAACCAAACATAATATTGACAAAGTCTATGTATCCTGTATATTGTATAACAAGGACAATGAGATTGGTTTGGTGTCTGGCATGGATATCCAGTATGCTAACCTCAAAACAGAATCATCTGCAACATAGGTGTTACTAGTTGAAATGGTGCTCAAGATACATGGTACACTGCAAACAGTACTGACTACGCTAGTTGTCTATATTGGAAAAACGAAAAGTCCACTATTTAACTTGCGAGGGATGGATAGAGAAAGCAGAGTTCCAGCAAAAGAGAAACATAATACCTGTCTGATAAATGTGGATTTTCCACCCATGTTAGGACCTGTGATAATCTGGAACCAACTTTTTCCCCTGACCTGGTGTGACAAAAATCAAAATGAGTAACTAATGAGCCACTTTATATAAAAGACAAAAAAAAGTAAGATAAAGTAACCATCTCTTAAATTGCATAAAAACTCACTAGTTTACAATCATTTGGTATAAAATTCACCCAATCTTGTGCCTCGACACAAGGATGTCTACTTCCTTCTAATACAATATCTCCCACATCCTGTTATGGCCACAATACAATTAGCATACCTACATAACAAGACCACCCTTTCTAACAAAATAGAGCATCAATATTGTTGGAAAAGAACAAAGGACGCAAATAATTTGCAAATCATTACTGAAGTGGTGATGTCCGGTCGTGTGTAGGGAGTGGGGCAACTAACAGCCAGATCAGCAAAACTAAGTAAGACATCCAATTCAGAAAGCAACACAGCTAATGACTCAAAGACCTGCACAACCAAAACTCCAATTAGTTTAGAACAATAGCCAGATGAAGTGTAAAACTGTATTTTGAAATATAACTACCTCAGAGAAAGTTGCAGCAGTTTGAACTACTCGGGCAACCAACTCTTTTTGACAACTCTTATACTCATCAAGTATCTTCTGGTACTGATCCCCTAGCTTCTTAAGCCTTGTATTTGTAAACTTCACCCCATCCTTTCGAGTTTCAAGAACAATGAATTGGGTATTGAGCTTTTTCCTTACTTTTGGCTCTTCCTTCTTTGTAATTCTAAAGACATGTCCAAATTGTGTGCCCTTGTCTAACTTTAGAGCCTTATCTACTGCCAAGTCAAGGTCATTAGCAGTTTGTTTATGCAAATTGTGTATTTTCTGTTCCAATGATTCTTGCTCATCCCTGAGTTCAGATAATTTTGGGTCATAACTGGAAGAAATCATGTATTCCCCATTATCAAGTTGATCAAGGTCTACAGAAGCTTCCACAAGGCCAATGAACTTATTCAAGTGGTCATCATCAGTCAAAAATTCCAAGGGATCCAGATACCTTTGCTTAATTAGTGATGAAAATTGCCCATCATACCTTTCCAAGGCACTTTTAATGTATGGAAGTCTAATGCTGGACTGCATGCAAAATAAGAGACATGAAATAGGTAAATCACCCATTTTCACTAAGAAATATTTGTCAGGAGGTTTATTACCAATAACCATCTACTTTTATACTTTTATTTAACCTACTTAACACAGAGACATGATGCATTCTCAATCCAACTGCAAGTACACTTGATCACAATCACGTTTAGAATGAACTATTTGAAAAAAACGTAATATGACTGAGTGACAAAATATGAATAACAAAGGTATTTTGGCAACCAAAAACATACTATAGGTAATTAAAGCTATTGAGCCTTGCGATACAATGACGATAAAATACCTGATAAAGCTTTACAATATGCTGTAAGACAGCTCTCCTCTTCTCAAGATAGCGCATCAATCGCTCCATATCAGAAATTCTTTTTAAATGCTGCCTCAAATCCTGGCGAAGAGCAGTATCCTCCACAAATGCTTGTACCAAATCTAGCCTGGAGTTGATTTCATTCACATCTAATAAAGGCTGTTTTAGCCACATGTGCAGCAATCTTTTACCCATCCCAGCAGTACAGGTTCTATTCAGGAGTCCAAACAAACTAAAATTTTTGTTAGCATCAGTTTTGCTCTCCATAACATTTAGAGCCCTCATGGCAGCAGAATCTAATCTCATGTAGCTGTCAAGATTGTACTGTCGAATACTATAACTTCCATAATTGCTCTCATCAGCAAGTAGTTCTGCATAAGATAGCAATGAACCCAATGCCCCAGGAGCAAATTCAAACCCAGATACAAAATCTCTAACTGGTTCTATAGAACCTTTGACAAGCCTACCAAGATCCTGCACCAAATCCCTTCCTTTAAACTCAGTTTTCTTTCTCTCTGTTACCATCATGCCACATCTTGACAATGCATCGTGTAAAGGTTTACATTCTGAGGATTTAGCACTGTCCACAGGCAAAAGGCATTCCTTGCAACCAAGAGCAATTAAAGCAGACTCCACATTTGTAAAGTGGCTGTCATCAAGAAATTCAGCCAATCCAAGCACTCTCTTTGTAAGATCAACATAGCCCATCCCAATAGTGCACCCATTTTCACGAAAATTTGGAGTGAGGGAAACAATCACAGGAGAATCTTGCATGTCATTGTTGGCAAACAAAATTTCTTCAAAACTGCCTAGATTTCCAGGGCTTCCACTTTTCACTAGTCTCCAATTCGATCCACTCCCTTCATACAGCTCAAGAGTATGGTCTGTTCTCTCCAAGAGAAGATCACGGGCAATGGTCTCAAACATGTTTTTACTTATGCTAACACTAGAAATAGCATCAGACCCAGTACCCAGCTGTCGTAAAGCAGTAGTAGTATGGTAATATGTCTTTGCAATGAAAGTTGCATTCTCACTATGAGCGGTGTAATAATCCTGTTTGAATGCACATTTTTTTTTAAAAAAAAGGGCAACAAATAATTTCTGCATTCATTTATATGTATCATGACAAATAGGAAACCATACGAAATACATAACCAAATAATGTTTATGAGTTTATGAAAGCAAAATTTCTTTAATTCTTGAACAGGATAAGCACATTAGAGATTGTTAAATACTAGAAAGGGATAAGCAGATCACCAAGAAAGAAAACTTACTTTGACAAGTAACAAACACAAGATATTGGGCTGTAAATGCATTTCATACTTACTACTATCTATATAAAAGAGTAGAACAGTGAATCAGAGACGGAAGAGACCAGAAATGTTAAAAATACAAGTTATAAGAAAAAAACACAACCTTTTTCATGATGTAACACTTAAGCATGGGGACACAATGTTTGAAAAAAGTAGAATATATAAGTTATAAACCCAGGAAAAGTATAAAGAATAGATTGCAATAAAATTATAAAATTTCTTTAATTCTTGAACAGGATAAGCACATTAGAGATTGTTAAATACTAGAAAGGGATAAGCAGATCACCAAGAAAGAAAACTTACTTTGACAAGTAACAAACACAAGATATTGGGCTGTAAATGCATTTCATACTTACTACTATCTATATAAAAGAGTAGAACAGTGAATCAGAGACGGAAGAGACCAGAAATGTTAAAAATACAAGTTATAAGAAAAAAACACAACCTTTTTCATGATGTAACACTTAAGCATGGGGACATCTATCAATTTATTTTTACAATATATAAGTTATAAACCCAGGAAAAGTATAAAGAATAGATTGCGATAAAATTATAAACCCAGGAAAAGTATAAAGAATAAATTGAGTTAAAATATTTCCGAAATAATAACCTAAAAAATGAAATAGAAATCAACATGACAGTCAAGAAATGATACATAATAGAGAGGTGTCATCTAAAAGTTGTGTGTGCAAGAGTATAGAAAGTCAACACACCAGCTTGTTACCAATGAGAAACAGCAGGAAACATAATCTAAATTACTTTTTTCTCAATAGCATGAAATTTTGGAAATGCAATATGAGATAATAGACATAAATGAAAAAGAAGTGACAACCTCTATTTATATTTGCAATGTCTATAATTACAGGAAAATTTGCAAAGGTGAAAACCACCATCATTGACAATCAATTAATAAAACTAAAACCCACTCAAAAATATTAAAAACCCAGTTCTCAAAGTACAATGATTAAATTGGTGCAAAACTTTCTGATCTAAATTTCACTTATTTTGGGAAAAACATACACTAAACCTTAACATCATATTACATTCAAACTGCTAGTTTACATTCAGTCATAACATAACTATTATATATATATATAGACAGAGAGAGAGAGAGAGAGAGAGAGAGAGAGAGAGAGAGAGAGCGCGCGCTAACCCGGCGATCAAAGAATCGAACAGCCCTAGGGTCCTGAAAACAGAGCACCACAATCAGATTAGGGTTGTGAGATTTTTCAAACATTTCCAGTCAGAGAGAGAGAGTGTCAAAGAAATGCAAAGTATAAAAGAAGGGTTTTCTTACACGGGGTAGGGTTTTGAAGAATGAGAGGAACCCTTGCGCTTGCTTAGCATCTATCACAAAAACAACAAATAACCACAAAAATTAAAGAAAACCCAAATTGAATCGTTACATTTTCAGCAATAAAAAAAACGCAAACATACCGAGTTTGAGCTCAGGAAGCTTGTTCTGTTCCTGCAAATTATCATCCATTTTAACAGCAACAAGCAATGAGATAGACACAGAAATTCTAGGGTTTATTACGCGAAGAATGGCGATTCAAGTCTACTTTAAATCTCAGCATAAAATGCTTACACTTTCTGCTAATCAAAAGCATATACTTTTTAGGTGTATATATGTATCTATATATATATATACTTTTTAGGTGTATATATATATATATATATACTTTTTAGCTGTATATATACATATATATTAGGAAACTAAATCTAGTCGCCAATAATTAATATTTGTTGACTAAAAATTTTTAGTAGCTAAATCCTAAACCAACGCCAACTAAGACCATCTCCAACGGTGAACCAAATTCAATATCAAATTTGAATTTGATGAAAAAAGTCACTTTTTTTGCTCCAATGGTTTCACCAAACCGATATCAAACTGAGAACGGAGCAAATTTTTCATCAAATTGAGAATCTGCGTGAGCCTTCACCAATTCACTGTGCTATAACGTTGCAAGTGGGGCCACAGTCAACCTGTTGGACGTCCGGCCGGTCGACCAACCGGTCGACCGGTAAAAGATTCAAACTGTTCAAATATTTAAGTTCAAACAAGTATATATATATATATATATATTTGCCTTACTGGTCGACCGGCCGGTCGACTACTAAAATGTTCAAACAGTTCAAATAGGTAGGTTCAAACAATTCAAAAAAAATAAAAATAAAAATTTTTCCTTACCGGTCGAACCGGTTGTCCCTGGAGCAAATTTGATGAAAATCAACCATTGAAGCATTCTGTATCAGATTGAGAAAATTGTCATTTTTTTACTCAGATTTGGTGAAAAATTAGGTGAACCGTTGGAGATGCTCTTACCATTCTCATACAAACTATTTTTAAAAAAGAAAAAAAAAGAAACGGTCCCGATTCAGACCTCTAAATTATGAGCACGGATCCTCCCCTTGCACTCCTTCCTTGCAAGGCCTTCGGGTCCACTTTTAGGCCCAATTTTGATAATCTGAACCGTTCATATTTTAAGATTTATTCAGTACATCATACCTGTAAAAAATCAAGTTGATCGGATATCAGAAAGCATGTGTTCGGAAAAATCGAACTAAAAACTATTTTTAAAAAAAATTTAGTAAACAGTTTTCTGAACACATGCTTTCTGATATCCGATCAACTTGATTTTTTACAGGTATGATATACTGAAAAATCTTAAAATATGAACGGTTTAGATTATCAAAATTAAGCCTAAAAGTGGGCCTGAAGGCCCTGCAAGGAGGAAGTGCAAGGGGAGGATCCCAATTCCTAGAGGCTCTAAAGGCAGCTCTAAACATGGGGCGCCCACTAATGGGGGTTGTCCAAGTGGAAAAGGGACTTGGGTCGCTTAAGCAAAGATCTCGAGTTTGAGTCTTTGTGGATGCAGCAAACCCCTTTGGGAGAGGACCCTGCATATGCGCCCGGCAGCTTCCTCGCGCATTAGTCCTGGATCCAAAAAACTTAGGAATACTGCGGAAGACCTAAAAAAAACATGGGGCACCCAAGCAGGGAAGATGAATGATAGATATATATACAGTGCGTGTGTTTCACGCACTGTGTTAAAAAAAAAAAATTGAAATCCAGCGCGAAGCAAATGTAAAACAGTGGTAAAACAGAGGTATTGCAACTCTATTCCAGAGCTATCTTTCCTCCGCCGTCCCTCGCCTCCACCGTAAAGCGTTGAGAATGGAAATCTACCATCTTATCCTCACCCCTAAACAAACCTAGTACTAGACACCAATACCATGTCAAGTTCTGAACCCCAGCAAACACATACTCAGTAACTCAAAACTCTCTCTCTCTCTCTCTGCAAACACAGAGTTGGACAATGGCCGGTGTTCTCGGAACTTCTTCTGCAGCACTCTTCGCCTCTCATCCTTCTTCTTCTCGCTCCTCCAAGTGCCCCATTCATTCTCTCTCTCCAACCCCAGGTATATCTATATGTATATTTGTATTGATATGTAGAGCAACATTTCATTTCTTTACATTCTTGGATTTGGGTAAAGATTATATGACAGAGACCCAGTTCATTTTTAGCTGTAAATTTCATGGTTGCTTTATCTTTTTGAGGTTTGTCATTGTTAATGTATAATGTGCATGTAATGTATAATGTATATAGTATAATATATTATAGGACAGAGCATAGAAAGCATAGGATTCTTTTCTTTCGGTTGTAAAGGCCAAACACCACTCACACACTTTCATTATTACACATAGCTTTTGTCTTCTCCTTTCGGTGCTTCCTCTATAAATGAGTATCACTCTTGTAACCAATTTATAGTGAATACAACATTCATTCAGATATCTCACATATCTCACATGGTATCAGAGTGCAGGTATTTTGCCTAGTCTCTTCTTCCGCTGCACTACATTTTTTGCTTAGCAGATTGCTGTGTATCTCGTCTGCATCACATTTTGATAGATTGTTGCATATCTCGACCTTATCTAACTTACATATTGGACCACACCAGTACCTTGGTTTCCTCACGCCGAATCCAACGCCATCAAATTCATCAATAGCCGACGTTTCACGCGCCGCCAAGACTTCAAGCCACGCGCTTCCTCGTTCTCAGACGCGCTCTACGCGCCTCATATACTTGTCCCGTGCTATTGTGCGCTGCGGCCTCATCTGCTAACGTGAGCCGCGTGTTTCTGACGTCAGCCGACGTCAGCCCTAGCTGCTTTCGTGTGCCGCTTGTTCTTCTCTGCTATTGTACGCCGCGCACTTCTCTGCTAACGTGCACCGCGCCTGTGACATTATCCCTGTAGCAAGTGACATCATCCTGTTTGACCAGAATTGTTGACCAGACCAGTCCACTCACTTTGACAAGCCAATGTAGTGCCTTTCTGGTCATATTTTTTGGTCAGTTCACTCCTTTCCCACTGATTTCGACCCTCTGAATTCACTGGTAACCTCGGATTTTTCAGATTCTACCTCGATAGTACTATTTTTCCCTCATGGATCGCCTCAACTCCTCTAACCACCCTATTTCCGTTGTTCTTGATGGGACTAACTATGTCTTATGGGCACAAGCTATGTCTGGGTTCCTCAAAGGAAAGAAACTTTGGCGCATCATCACTGGGGATGTGTGCAAACCCATCCAAGCAACCACGGAATCCGCTGCCACCACGGAATCCGCTGCCAAATATGTCGACCGTCTGGAGGATTGGAATAGTAAAAACTATCAAATCATTACTTGGTTTCGCAATACTTCTATTACATCTATCAACTTTCAGTTTGGTCAGTTCCAACTTGACTTTGCTTCCTCTCCAGCCAAGGCCATCTGGGATTTTCTACAGGAACGCTATCAGACTACTAGCCTTGCTCACCAATATCAGCTTATGAGTCATCTTCACCGTATGCGCCAAGAAACAACTCAGACCATTAATGATTTCATCTCCCAAATGTATTATGTTTGGGATCAGCTCGCTCTTTCTGAACCTCCATGGGATTGTACTAAGGATGCTGCCTTGTTTACTACTTACCGTGACCAACATCGCTTGGTTCAGTTTCTCATGGCTCTTACTTCCCGTTTTGAGCCAGTACACGCATCTCTCATTCATCGCACTCCTTTACCCACTCTTAAGCAAGCAATTTCTGAACTCCTGTCAGAGGAAACCCGGTTTGGTACTCTCCATCCACACCCTGTGGACTCTGTTCTTGCTACTCCCCAGATTCGGAGTTCTGCTTCCCCACCTTCACCACATAAGTCAACTTTCTGCAACTACTGTCAAAATCACAGTCTTCCGTCGACTCATCTTCTGGTTAATTGTCCTGTTCGCCTTTGTAGGTTTTGCAACAAGACTGATCCTGGTCATCTCTAGCAAGATTGTTTCCGTAATCCCGCCCGTGCCTCTCGCAATGGTCCTTCCCCCGGGCATTTTTCCCGCAGCACCTCACACCATTCTGGGACTCCGTTTAAACCAATCCCTGCTCAACGCACTGCTCCTACTGCCTCAGAGGATTTACCTTCCCCTGTCCCTATAGATCCTTCCACTCCAGTCTTCTCTCAAATAGATGTCGAAGCCATGTTTCAACATTTTTGGTAGAACTCCGGTACTCCTCCCTCTACTGCTTTGTCTGTCACCGCAGGTAACATTTCCTGGTACTTTGACTCCTCTTGTTGTAATCAGATGACCTTTGACTCTTCTATTTTTACTCATCTCTCTTCTACTTCTCATGTTTCTTCTATCCATACTGCTGATGGGTCTCTTTTGTCTGTAAGTCATGTTGGTTCTATTTCCACCTCTCACTTATCTTTATCCCATGTATATCTTATGCCTGCTCTCACTTTAAATCTTATCTCCATTAGTCAATTATGTGAGCATGGTCTAACTGTTACCTTTTCCCATACTGGTTATTTGGTGCAGGACCCTCGGACGGGGCAAACTCTTGGGATAGGCCGTAAGCATGGACGCCTCTACGAACTTATCCATCTTCATGTTCCGGATTCCTCTCAGATCACAGCTTCTACCACTGCTACCACTCCTTTATCTCATTTTCAGCTTTGGCACTGTCGTTTAGACCATCTTTCCGTTGGTCATTTAAAAACTATAATTTCTAGTGGTCATTTAGGTCCTGTAAGTTCTGATGCTTTAGATTGTGTGTCCTGTCAACTTGCTAAACAATCTGCTTTGTCGTTTAATAAAAGTGACTCTGTTTCTCTTACACCATTTGATCTCATCCATTCTGATATTTGGGGACCCTCTTCTACTCCCACTATGGGCGGCGCCCGCTATTTTGTTGTTTTTATAGATGATTTTTCCCGTTTTACATGGTTGTTTCTTATGAAAACTCGCTCTGAGCTCAAACAACTTTATTACAATTTTGCTGCAATAGTTAACACACAATTTTCTAAAACAATTAAGCTTTTTCTCTCCGACAATGCCATGGAATATAAAGATTTTGACTTTCTTTCCTTCCTTTAGAGTCATGGTACTCAACCTCATCGTTCCTGTCCCGGTACGTCTCAACAAAATGGATGTGCTGAACGGAAACATCGGCATATTCTCGACACTACTCGCGCTCTTCTTCTGTCTTCCTCTTGTCCGGAACATTTTTGGGGAGAGGCAGCTCTCACTGCTGCTTACACTATCAATTATATCCCTACACCTGTCATTCATAATCATACTCCTTATGAGCG